GGACGAGCTCACAACCATGGCGCTGCTGTATGGAACCAGCTTAAGTGATTCTCTATGGGGAGGCGTTGAGCATAGGAAGCCAGGAAAGCCCTGGGTGAACGGGCAGTGTTGGCATGGGCATGGCTTCAGACCCACAGGAAAATGGCAGAGTCCTACCCCCCCACCACCACCAAAGTGAGGCTCAGAGACATCACAAAGCCTTCTGGGCGTCCAAGTGTGACTGCCAACAATGAGTGCAGAAAATGTCCACCATAGTTTTCTTCCCCTGGATACTTATAGTCCGAAGACTCTTCCCCTACAGAGATGGCTCCTATTTAAGTTAACTAAACCTAACCCCTTGTCCAGCAGTACTTAAATCCTGCCCCCTCGTTTGTTTATCTGTGTGCAATAACCCCACCCCCCTGTTCAACTGTATACAATAAACACTGAGCATCTGAGGCTTTCTCCATCAGAGTGCTCAGTCCACGCTAACCCTAACCAGTACACCCCATCCCAGTTACTGCTGTGTCTCCATGTGTCTGTCTTTTCTCTACTCCCCCACCGCCCTAGTCAGGTCAAGTCCCTAGAGCCATGCAAGGGGGAAGCAGTGAACCTCACACGTTACCCAAGAAATGCACATTGAACAGCAAGAGTAACAGAGTGTATCACTGACCGAGCTGCTAATAGTGAAAACAGTGTGAACAATTGGGGTATGGCCAGTCGGGCATTCCCACACAATGGTGATGAGTGTGTAAAGGAATACAATCTCCCCAGAAGACAATTTTGATATGTGTTTACCAAATGCCTGAACGGTTCCTTTGATAGAGCAACTTTACTTCTAGGAATTTAAACGAAGGAAACACATGTACACAAAGATATTCATTTCAGCATTGCTTACAGTAGGATAGATACAAACAACCGAGTAACAACCAAGGACTGGGGCCGGGCGGTGGTGGCGCACGCCTTTAATCCCAGCACTTGGGAGGCAGAGGCAGGCGGATCTCTGTGAGTTCGAGGCCAGCCTGGTCTACAAAGGCAGTTCCAGGACAGGCTCCAAAGCTACAGAGAAACCCTGTCTCAAAAAAATAAAACAAAACAAAACAAAACAACCAAGGACTGATTGATGCGTGTTGGCTCAACCCTCCATGAAATACTATACAGCCATTAAGATATTAAGCACAATATTTATTGATGAAAAAAGATGTTCACAGCATATTGTGAGGAGGAGAAAAAAAAAAGCAAGTTACAAAACAGTGTGTTTCCAATTTACAAATTAGTACAACAGAATAGCTCCATTTGTTCTTTGGTTTTTTTTTTCCAAATAAGTGATCTATATGAATAGGAAAGATTTTGAGGTACAGATGACTTTGGAGTAGCTCTCTTTGGACAGCATTACAGATTTCTGGACTGGTAGGATGGCTCAGCAGGTAAAGGGTGATGACCCGAGTTCAATCTCCATGTCCCACTTGGTGGCTGAGATCTTCTGCAAGCTGTCCTCTGACCTCCACACACATACCATAGCACACGCATGCAGACACACATACAAAACTAAACAGTTTTGAAGTATTAGATATGCTGACTTTTTTCATGAGGCTTGGCGATGTTTTCTAACAATGTTAAAATTTTTAAATAAGGGTTGGACTAGACGACGTATAACGTCCTTTGTCACTCCAAGCACTCGAGTGATTTTAAATAACCTTTTTATTACCGAGCTTTCCACGTGGCCGTTGGAGTTAAGGCTTTCGCTAGCAGCTGTAACCCTGTACGTCCCTCTCTCGCGTATTCCCTGCCCAGCTGTCTCCCCTGTCAGCCCAGGAGCTTCTGTTTGGCAAGGCTCAACTGTACCCCTATGTGTAATCCATGTGCCCCATCAAGAACTGGGCAAAGGAACATGGCTCAGCAGGCTGGCAGGTGCCACGCGGGCACAAAGAGATAAAAAGGCACAACTTAGATCCTACTGGATAGACTCAGACACACAATGCTTGTCTTTATAATTGTCTGTGAGAGACAGCAGAGAGAGGCAGGGCAAGCTGGCAGGAAGGCGTACTAAGGGAGAAAGCCATGCGGGATGGTGGGCAAGGGCACACCAGGCAAGGGGGACAGCCTAGGCAAAGCTGAAACCAGCACACAGTTCTTTCAGACATGCTCTTCAGACATTTCCAAGAAGCTGCCACAACCCTAGTTCTGATAAACGTCTCCTTTGGCAACAATGGAGAAAAGTTAAGTCTCTGAAACAGAAGTTCTCTTTAATCTAAGCCTGGGTTAGCCACCAAAGACAACCAGAAATCTACCGGGGACAAAGACAATCCACTTTCCCCAACCCTCCCAAGGGGAGAGCTGGGGGGAGGGGAGGGTCCGGGAAGGGCTGTGGGGAAGCAGCAGCAGGGACAGCCAGGTATCTCACATGCAGACAAGGCTCACCCCACCAGCAGGCCTCTGGCTTCTCCGGCAGCACCACCGGCCCCATTGGACAGATGGAGGAACCCGGCTGGAGAGTCAAAACGGCTTGCTCCAGGATCACCCAGCCAGAGAGCGGGGAAGGTGACTCCACTCAGGCCTTCTGACTCCAAGTCCAGTGCTATTTCGAGGTAACACACAGGACCTGGAGTCAGGAGCCCTGGGTGGCTCTGTCACCCCCTGGCTGAGTGGTCGTGGACGAGCAGCTCACCCCTCACAGCCTCTTCCCCAACTGTAAAATGAGGCGGCGGGCTGCCCCGCCCATTCCCGCTCAGCTCTGATCCTTCTAGGGGCGGCTGCAAAGCTCCCGGTATCAATTACATTTCCCAAGTTGGCCCGGCAAAGATCACCGAGAGATCTTCGGCCTGTCACGTGGTTAAGTTAAAGGGGGGGGGGCGCAAACGTCCCAAATTAACTTTCACTGCACTGCTTCTGCTGACACCTACTTTCTCATTTTTTTTTCTAGTTTCCTTGGTGAAGCAGCCTTACTAAGTAAGCTAGGCTGGCGGCTAAAAGGGCAAGCAATTAATTATTGGTGAGCCAAACACCAAAGCTAAAGTTAAAGGCCAGGGTCATGTCCAGAGCAAACAACCTTGGTATGGGTGAAGAAGTCTCACGAGCTGTTTTGGGTCTCTTCTACTAGGTTCTTAAGTGTAGAAATATGGAAACGACTCCAGGCAATAGAGATCTGGGGTACAGGTCTTCTGGGGGGGGGGGGGACCAAAACACATCCCCACCACCTCCAGTCCTGATTCCAGGCTATCTACTGCTGGGGTGCTGAGGCTAGGGCCGACTTCGGCAGACACAAACACCGGGCGTGTGACCGAGCCCAGCGACGCTGCCGGGAGCTCCACCGCAGTTTCGTCAGAGGTAAAGGTACGCGCCCGGCGCGCGCGGCGTGTGCACACGCGCAGGGGACACACACACACACACGCACAGCCCGCTCATTAACACCCCCTCCCGACCTGAGGAAGCGCGATCACTCGATCACTCGCGACCGTCCCCTTGGGCCTCTGCTGCGAACCCACCCGAGCGCGCCAGCCACACACCACGCGGCCCCGCAGCTCTGGGACGCAGCGGCGTTTGCAGAGGGCTACGGCCCGCCGTCTCCCGCGCGTGGCGGGCTTCCTCTAGGCGACACCTCGCCCCGCCGCCTATCCTAATCGCCAGCCTGAAGTCGCCACCAGGAGTCTTCCCGGAGCAGAACGTCTCGAGACGGCCGCTGCGTCCCCTCCGAGTCGCGTCTCACCGCCAGGAGTCAGCTTGCAAGCCTCTCCCCGCCCACCCGGTCCCATGACAGCTGCTACCGCCCAAAGACTGGTAGATTCTAACCAGAAGCAAAGTTTCCCTCTCTCCTCCCACCCCCCTCCCACTCTGCCTTCCCCTCCCTCCCAGTGTTATGCAAAAACGGACCGGCACAAACGCTTCCACTCCAGGTACTCAGTCTGTCCCCGCGAGTCCCGCGGGTTTCCGTCCGACAGCCGGGCTCCGTACCCAGGCGTGTCCCCGCATCCGGGGTCTCCTCCCAGGTTCCACCGCATCCCCAACCTCTCGGGGACACGCAGCCAAGAGCCGGGAGCAAAAGCCCTAACTCGGGAGCCAAACTTTAGGCTTGCAACAGGCTTGGGCCGGGGGAAACGGAGGAGTTGGGGGCGCGCACGCCGCGTGCACATTTCCCCGCAACTGTTTGTCCCAGCAGCAATCCCCATTTTGGTCTCCAAGCCAGCAGCTCTCTCCTCCTCCCTCCCGAACACCAAAGCACACTCCTGTCACGAGCGTGTAGCCGGTGAAGCTCCCAGGCTCAGCCAGAACCCCGGACGCCGCCTCACCTTCCCTTCCCCCTGCATCGTGGAGCGCGCGCCGAGGCCGCGCGCCGCAGGGGGACCCAGACACCCCCCCAGATAGTCCTTCCGCCCCGATCCAGCTTTGCTCTTGCCTAAAGGGTCTCCTCCGGATAGCGAAAGCTGATAGACACTATCTCCGCCCGCATGTCCACGTGCCCCGCAGACCCTTAATTCCCCTAGTCGGCAACTGACAGGAAACTCTGCGCTGCGGGAGCAGGTGGGGGGCTGCGGACAAACCAGTGGCAGTACTTGGGGTACCTGGGTGCTGGAGAACGAGGGGACTCCAGGGCTGCGGGCCGCCTCCCTTAACCCCGCCACAAGTGCACGTGAAAGTACGGCAGCAAGTGCTGGGCGCCGAGGACGCGCCTACAGCACCCAGAGCCAGCCTTAGGGGTCCCTCCGACCCTGGCTAGACTCTACCTGCCCAAGGAATCGCAGTACCCCTCAACTTTGCCGGTGGGGGAACCATAGACTCCAGGTAGCCCTGACCAGACCCTCCCGGATGACTGTGTCCCCCAATGCTACAGCATGCGCCGGCGACCTGCAGCTCGCTACGCCTGTAACGGAGCGCAGCGCAAGGCACGTGGAAGGGGGGCTCTGCAGCCTGAACCCCCCGATCGCCCCGGTACGCCCACCGCTGCGCTCCTGGCTCCGCAGCTGCCGCTGCAGCCCCACGGTTCTGCACCCTGGTGTCTGGCCTGCTCTGCCCGCTGGCCGTACCTGCGTGTCAGAGAGATAGTTGAGGAAGAAGGACGAGAGCTCTTCATCCAGCAGCGCGCTGCAGTCGTTCCCCGCCATCTTCCAGCCGCGGCTGCAGCGTGCGGCGGAGTCAGCGCCGAGCCCGCCCGGGGGAGGGAGCGAGCGAGGAGGAGGGAGGAGGCAGCCCGGCGGGCGGGTGGAGGGCGGAGCTCGGGCCCCCGGCTGCGGCAGGCCGGCTGGCTGCGGGGGCGGGGCCGCGTGAGCCTGGGGTCGTACCCCCACTTTCCCTGCTCAGAGTCTGTCGCGGCGACCAGGTCTCGCAGCCCCCCGCAGGGATAAAAAGCGCCGGCAGCCAGGTGGCGGTGCCCGGGCCAGCAGCCCGGTGCCTGCGCAGCAATGCGGGCACCCCCTCCTTACTGCTAGAGCGAATCACGTTGCGTTAGCGCTGGGCGGGCCCTTGCCTGACAACCTGCTTCTACACTGCTGGGGAAACTGAGGCTCCAGGAGGTTTGGAACGGCATTTGAAGCCGCAGTGTGCTTCAACAGCAAAAGAGAAAGCTTCGGAGACCTCCTAAGTTCTCTATCCAGAGTGCAAGACCAGAGAGGGAGGAAGGCAGGCACAGGTCAAAGGCAAAGAAACCAGAGACGACTTCTCGGAGAGGGTGGCATTCGTATGTTTTCTTTGAAGCCTCCCCCCCCCTCCCCATTTCCTGTTAAGCTTAACCATCCCCCAATTATGTCCTTTACCATACCCTACAGTGTCTTGAACTGGCTAGACTTCTGCCAGTCTCCCAGGTCCACTGACCTTCTCCCTTTTCTTAATAGGAACCTTCTGGAAAGGAGCCACTATGCTAATCGGCCATTCACCGAATAAGGGTATCTTTAGGGCACACTTACCCACCGCCATTGTTTTTTTTTTGGGGGGGAGGGGGTTCGAGACAGGATTTTTCTGTGTAACAGTCCTGACTGTCCTGGAACTCACTTTGTAAACCAAGCTGGCCTCGAACTCACTGAGATCCTCCTGCCTCTGCCTCCCAAGTGCTGGATTAAAGGCACGTGCCACCACCGCCCGGTTTTCCATCACCTTTGTAAGTACCAACTCATCTGTTGTTTCCCAACCCCAAGCCTATGCGACCCTTTCCCTTAGAGGTATCTCAGCGGCCCTTGTACCTTGGCTTCCGTGAAGAATTGATTTGAGTCAATCTGTCCTTGCTAGAGTCTAACACATAAAACCAGGCTTAAACCTTGTTTTGTGTGGTTGACCAGGGCTATTTAATAAATAATGTGTTAATTGAAAAGACTGGAGGGCTCTGCTCTCCCCCACCCCCTCTGTCACCACATACTCTACCAGATGAGGGAACTGTAGGTCAGGACTGCACTCCAGGAGAGTCCTGAACCAGAGCCAGGAAGCAAACCTTCTGACTTCAACCTTGAACTCTCATTGCTTCAAAGCTGGCCAAGCAGGCATCTAGGTGTGTGAGGGCAAAGGAGGGGTGTGGAGGGGCGGGGGCTGGGGCTGAATAAAGGCTGCAAGGCAGGAAGACACAGACCTGTTTATTGGGCACACCTGCCTCTTGCCACTTGCCACCTCCCTCCCACAGGGTACTGGCAAGCGGCTGCCCCACCCTGCCCGGCCAGTGGGCTCTCCTTCCAGCAAGAGAAGGAAAGAGCCTTAGCACACCTGCTCAGACTTGAGCCACACAGCAACAGCTTCCTTCTTCTCCAGTCTGAGGTTCCCAGAACCGCAGGGTGTGATTTCACTCTTTGGGCTCAAGGCCAGCATGCTTTTAAGGAACGATGCTGCCAACAGAGAACCTACAGCTAGCCTCAGAGGAGTCCTGGGTTCTGGTCCAGCCCATACTGTTCCAGTACTGGGCAACTCAGTCAGGGTCGCTGCCTGGTTTTGAACTCCAGCAAGTCATCTCATCTCAGGCTTTGGTTTCTCATCTTTACAAATGGGGATAGTGAAATCACTTACTCATAGTGGTGCTATGAAGATAAAGAGATAAAATATGTAAAGTGCTTGGCACAGGGCCTGCCTTCAGGGGGAATACGAGAAAATACCCTTACGGGCGCTGGCCTAAATTATGACTTACCTTCCCTCCAATTTAAGCGGACTCTGTTCTCCATTCAGGTCTGAATCCTAATACCAACAACTGTGTGCACTGTTACTTAAAAGTAAAAGGGAGAGTCAGGCCTATGATGCATGCTTGTAATCCTAACACTTGGGAAGTGGAGGCAGGAATGTCAGGAGTTCCAGGCAGGTTATCCTTGTCTATATAAACCTGGAGTACATGAGGTGCTGCCTCAAAAAAATGAAGCAAAGACTGGGAACATAATTCACTTTACAGAACATTCTACCTACCACACATGAAGTTCCGGGTTTTATAGAACCAAATAAAACTGGGTATTGCGGCATGTATTATAATGCCTGCACTGCGGGCACAGAAGCAAAAGGATCAGATGTTCAAGGTCATCTTTGACTATGTAGCAAGCTTGGGGCCAGCTTGGGCTACGTGAGACCTGACTTATAAAACACAACAAAAATGATGAGCCTCAGTTTCCTCATCTACAAAGTGGGGACAGCAATGGTGCTATTTCACATAGGCCCTTGTAAGCGTCAAGTGAAATAATATGTGTAAAAAAATTGCTTGGCCCTCGTTCATCAGACAGGAAGTGACCATCACCGTCATTATCATCCTCATTATCACCTAGGACTTCAGTGCTCTAAGGCTGCTGCTCCTGGACCAAGTAGGGGTCCTATGAAACGGTTTCCAGAACTGTCCCCATTCTAGTCTGGCCCTTTGCTGTTGTGACTTTTGTAGCAAAAGGGCTACATTGGGTCCCCTCCCAGCCAGCCATCCCTGACCATGGCTGTGCACAGCTCACTGTGCACAGTGACTGCACTCTTCACTGCCTTGCTAGAGACTCCTTCGGAGACTTTGTTTTCCAAACTCTGGCGTTGTTAGAATTACTACTCATTGCTCAGGCTTAAGGACTTTCTCATCGACCCTCTGACTGGGTTGTGGCTGCCGAGACATTTAGGGTGAACCTCCACCTGAGAAGCTTAGCTTGCTTTTCAGGAGTTCTTTCCTTAAAGGCACCCACACTCTCAGGCCCCATGACCCTCTTGCCTCCTTGCAGGAGTGTGGAGTTCTTCCCTGAGAAAGTCGTCAAGCACTCTGAGTGATCATTCATGCCTGCAACCCCAGCACTCAGGAGGCTGAAGCAAAAGGACTGCAAAAGAAGTCTGAGGCCACCCTAGGTTATATAGTGAGACCTCATCTCAAAAAAAGAGAAGAAAAAAGTCCTCAAGAAACCCAAGGTGACAGAGCATCTCAGGTTGTTTGCTAGTCTTCTGCCCGGCTAATGAAAAAGCCCCTGAATGAAGCCATGCAGAGTCCCTGACCCAAGTGTACTGTTAGCATTTCAGGCTCCGGCTGAACCTCCCAGCTTTCCTGTGCATCTGAGCTGCGTCATCTCTAATCCTTCCCACCAGCTTCAATGGGATGAATTTATCCATTACATCCCCGGGGAAAGGAAAGCTTAAAGGGGGGTTAATGCTGGGGAAATCTGGCTCAGTGGTGGAATGTTTGCCTCACACACTCGGGGTCCTAGACTAAACCTTCAGCATTCCCTGCAAAAGGGGAGAAGTGGTTAGCTGTAGACCAAGCAGCTAGAGGTCCAGCTAAGGCCAAGCCTAGGTGTGTGCCAGTCCAAGCGACAGCCCCCTAGAAGGGAATTAGAAGTGGCTCCTAACAGCTGGCCCCCCTGGAGGAAGCCAGAATGGTGGCACATTTCTTAGTTTATGACTTTCAAGGGAAGGGCAATAATACTGCCAGAGTTGGACTTCACGAGGCTCCACATCTACCTCCTCTGTCATTTTATTGGCCTTGCCTCCCTGGGAAGTAGTGAAAGTGAGCGTGGTGCGTGTCTAACCCAGCCCAAAGCCAAGAGCACCCCAGGCTCCTTGGATACGGCTCTAGGAAAAGGAACCTATCTGATTGGACTTGAATATTTTAGCCTCTCCCCTGCCTACAAACACTCCAGGTGAGACCATCAGCATTTCTTCCCTGAGACTCTTGAGGACAGGACAGTCACCTGGTCTCTGTCACCAGAGATTTCTATTCAGTAGGTCTGAAGTGGGCCCAGATTTAACTGGGTCCCCTGGGTGACTCTGCTTGTCCATCATTCAACTGATGTTAAGTTACACCTGCTATGTACCAGCTACCGCAGTTGGTGCACACATAAGCCAGTGCCTATAGAACATCTGCCATCCCTGCCCACTTACTGGCCAACACAACTGTTAAGCAAACTATTGTTCAATGACGGAGGGAGGACATGGGTCTTAACAGGCAGTAAGGCTCTCTGGGAGCCTATGGTCAAGGCTATGGTGCCACATAGCCACATGCTGCTCTGTGTCCCAGCTTCTGTGTCCAAGGCCAAGATGAACTTTTAAAAGACAACACCTTTGTACAGTTGATCCTTAAAGTCCCTATCTTAGTTAGGGACTGTATTGCTGCCTGAAACATGATGACCATAAGCAAGTTGGGAAGGAAAGGGTTTATTTGGCTTATACTTCCACATTGTGTAGTTCATCATTAAAGGAAGCCAGGACAAGAACTCAAACAGGTCAGGAACCTTGAGGCAGAAGCCTGATGCAGAGGCCATGGAGGTCTCCTGCTGCAGCTGGGCTGCCCTTTCACCAGTAACCTCTCCTGGATTCTCTTCATGTTGTCCATGAAGAAAACACCCGTGGGTCTCTCTTTTCTCAAGGACCCTTTCAGTCCTGGGGCTTCCACCACTACTCCAGCTGGGCCTTCACCAAGGGCCTCTCAATGTACCAAGCCTCGCCTGTTTTTTTTTTAATTTTATTTTAAGATTTGTTTATTTATTATATATATATGACATTCTGCCTTCATATATGCCCACACGCCGGAAGAGGGCACCAGATCTCATTACAGATGGTTGTGAGCCACCATGTGGTTGCTGGGAATTGAACTCAGGACCTTTGGAAGAGCAGTCAGTGCTCTTAACCACTGAGCCATCTCTCCAGCCCCTCGACTGTTTGTTTGTTTGTTTGTTTGTTTGTTTGTTTTATGGTCGTTTCATGCCTTCAAAACCAGTTCCACCTGGGAGGCTCTTACACGTGACCAAGTTGGCTACAAACACAAAGTACAACCTTGGTCACCTCTGAACACAGCTTGTGTGTGCAGATTCGGAGGGAAGATTTTCCAGAAGATTTTACCTCAGTGATGCTGGTCTCTTCTGAATCGCCACTGATTTCACAGCTCCAGCTGACCAGCATCAATTGTCCCAGTAAAGCA